GAAACAAATTAATCAATTTGTGTCTACTTTTTTTCAAAAGGACTTATTTTCCTTACCTCATGCTCTGTTGTTCTACGATCTTCATATCTCCTCAGTACGATTCCTGTTCGTTCTCGCCTGTCCTCCTATTTTCAAAAAATTTTGAGAATGAAGCTGGCGCAGAGCACGACATCACATGTGAAAGCTGGGTTCTTTAGGAAGGATTTGGATCATTTGGTATATACCAAATTGTTTGATCTTTCTTTGGGAAATAGTCCTTGCGATGACTCAAGCATTACCCTCATTGTGCTTTGGGCCTATATTAGATTTAGAATGTGGGAACGCTTAGTTTCTATAAATTAACGTTTATTTAGTCGCACAAACCCTTGAACTTGTATGGTCAAACTGTTGAGAAGGAATGAGATAAGTAATTGAAAGTAATTATGAAATATCCGCCAAATATATCGATGTGAGTGCCACTTGCGACCGCATCAATTCCCAAAAACGTCTGATCCCTGTAAATGGACTGAACTTATTTCGAGGAGCTAGTCCTACAGTTTATTAGAATTGCTCTTCTTTCATCCATGATTTCTTATGCATATTGGTCATTTTTTAGGTGGTTGGTGGAAAATTGTGGAAGAAGTAGATTTGAAAGGAGGTGAACACGTATCTTTTGAGTGTGGAAGTGGCAACAGCTGCTACCTCTCTGCAATGGATAACGGTAGATTTACCATTGGCCTACCTCACCCGGACGGTGAAGAGCCAAACCCAGAAGAGATATTCGCCGTTGTTAAAACACCGGATGATCCCAAAACAAGGTAGGCTTTATTTTTATTCACCTATTTTACGCTTCCATTTCTTCGTCTTCCACTCAGAGTAAGCGATTATCATCGTTTTCTGAAGCTTGGACATGGTCTTTTATTTCTGTGCATTTGGGAGAGTGCAAATGTTTCCTTCTATATTTCAGTTTCAAAACCGGTTACGGGAAATACATTGGTGTCGATTCGAATGGTGCTCTTGTTGCCACAGCAGAAGCTCAGAGCCCTTTGGATCATTTTCAGGGAATAGAGATGTGTAAACCCATTCGAAAGCCTTCAAAGGTGCATGCTTTTTCGAATATTCCAGTGTGTTTCTTTAAAAACAACTTCAGGTCTTGTCGTATAGAGGTGGGTCATTTAAGATAGCCCTCTTTCATTTTTCAAGTGAAGTTTTCACTAAATTCATTCGAGCTTACTAGTGCTTTCCTCGCCGCTGTTTTCTGTCTGTTTTTCATAGTGTTTGCGATTATTTGACTAGATCATGTTTTCCGATTCAGTGTGGTTCTTTAAACACGTTTCAGGTCTTGTCCGGTAAGAGGGGGCATTTTAGGAGAGCCCAGTTGCCAGTTTTGCTCAAGGAGTCCTTCAAAGCTACGAGCTGCTACCAGCTTTATTCGCACGCTGTTTCTCCTGTTTTTTATAATGTATGTGATATTTACCTAGTGAGCAGCTAGGACTAAGGTAAGCCTAAGAAGCGGGAGGAAGTCCCTGGGGGAAAATGAAGACCGCTCATCCTCCACCTAGAGATTTTCCCTCCATTCCAAGGCTTATTCCTAAACCCTTACACTGGGAGAATATGATATCCGTGGTTTAAACACGTTTATCGCTCTAAACTGCATGGCCCCCCTTACTGGAAAAGAGTCCAGGTTTCCTTCAAAAGTGGGCTAATGGCATGACCTACTTGATGTCAATAGAGTCGATCCCGAGCAATAGCTCGGCGCTCGGCACTGGGAACATCCCCGTATCTATTTGCAAGTTTAAAAGTTCATGCGTGCCCATAGCGTCTAGGTGTTGTGTAACAGTAGGTGCGGACGTGGACGCGTAGGCCTGAGGAGGGAGGAGGAGTAGGGAGGGGCGGTGATGAGGAGGTCGCCAACCAGCAACCCCCTTCAACTCCATTCGCCTCTTTGCAACTCGGCTGGGCCGGCGCCGAAGCAAAGATCGCTAGTTTCACGACGAACGCTTCTCGACCGACTCGTTGAAAATCAGCTGATAGTGTGCGTTCTCGTTTCCTCTGGAACCGTCATCAGCTGAGCGTATTCAGACGCTGTTCAGCGCCCTAGGACGAAATCGCCATGGCGAGTCGTCGCCAAAAGCAGTTCGACCGCAAGTACAGCTCTTACAGGTGAATCGGCGATTATCTCCTTTTCATCTCGCCTTCAGTGTGCTTTCATGTGACGCATGTTGAGAGCTCTCGGCGCGTGAGGTTTCGCTTGACGATCTGTCATGTCAGTTGAACAAGTGGGGCTCTTGTGACTGGGAACCTTGCTGCCTTGAATATTAGCAATAAAACCACCTATTTCTTTTGTCCTGAAATCTCGGCTACACCCATTAGCATCGATTTCCAGCGAAATTCTCGATATTTGGCGCTTTTTTGTGGAGATATCACTTGAGTTTGCCCAGACCGTGGTCGGTCCATGTTTTTTTGAGGTGCTAAAGAAGAGAGCTTCTTCCTGAAACAGTTTTTTTATCCGCGTATTTCGTTTCGTGTCTGTGGCTGCCGCACAGGTGTCCAGTTGTGGATTTGTTTGCAATCCGCTCTCTCGACGCCCACGAAGTGCTCAAGGAACAGTGCGAAAATTGATGCACACATAAAAGCCAGGAAATCGCATGGTATCCGCGGAAAATCGATTTGCGTAACGATTTAGCCTGGGTGGTAGACCGCTTTATCGTGGCTGGATCCTTTGGAGCCTTCGCGAAGGTTACCCTCCGGCCTAAAGTCGTTTAACCAGGGTCAAGTGTCAAGCTTGGGAAATTTTCAGGATTTGAGCGATCCTCGTCTGTGGAGGGACTCCCCAAACAGGGTCAGCCACGACCCTTTCGAGAACTTCGCGACCCCTCACCACACCATGCACTGAGGAGACCGTCCAGCGGGTTGAGGTTAATTGGTTATCACCCGGCAAATCATTTATTTTGTTTTACCCTGCTATCATAAAACTCTCGCCAACCTCGTCGAAAAGCAGTCAAATACAAAGCAAGGTAACTACCTCTGGAAAAAGTGTGAACAGGATCGTAAGGAAAACCCTCTTTTTACGGTCCTGTTCACACTTTTTCCAGAGGTAGTTAGCTTGCTCAACCCTCAAAATGCGACCCCTTTTCAAAATCGCCAATGTGACCCCCTCATTCGAGTAGTGCGACTGGGTGGTTGGACCCATCCTCCACCGTGACCCTCCTTCCAAAAATCAATGCTGCCCATAGTGCCGTTGATATTGTTCATCTTGGATGGCACCATTTTCGAAACTTCAGCCTTCCCACAGCTCTCCGAAGGTACAGTTTGGGGGGGGGCGTGGGGAGTATGTTAAGTTTCTGATAACGGGTAAAATTTTTGAAATTTCTCAAATTTGTAGACAGTTCAAAAGAATCTGCTTCATCCTTCCATTACTCTCGGAAGCCCCTTGAGCTTACCAAAGAACATTGACACCCTCATTTTCGTCAGGAAAATCCCGAGGGATGATTTGTGATGCCTCCATCCCTTCAACCGGATTGGCTCCGTCCTTTGCGACATATCTGGGTGCCCTTTCATGCCCTAGGCCTTTCTTCTGTTTGGGATCGGATAAGTTGGTCTCATATCCGTCCGGAGGATAAAAGCACGGATTTGAATTGGAAAAAGCTGAGTTAGGGTGAAAGGGTACCCCGGTCGTAACTTATAGCGCATTTGCTCGGTAAGCGATAGGTGCGGGTTCGAATCCCCTTGAGCGATAGTTTGTTCCTACCCAACTTTCTTGTGGAACTGGTTTTAAAATTGTTAGCTTTTTAGTCTTTGTGTAAGTCTGACGGCTCAGAGCCATTGCGATTTACAATGGAAAGGAAGGTAGATCCTCGTGAAGAACTTTTGCGACCACTCTATCCCTTCATTCTTTGCTACCTTTTTGCGAAGCCTTTGCGAGTTTCCGCTCTGGACAAGCGCCTCAGGTTTCTCAGCCGTTGGACTTACATTACATCGGGCCAGACAGAAAGGCTCACGGATAAAAAATTCCAAAGATCAATCGATATTGATTGTGACTACATTGTTTCGGAGTTTAAATCAATACCTGTTTTAGGAAATATACTGCCAGCGAAGATGTGAACTACAGTGCTCATTCGTCTCGATCGAGTTTTCGATCGGAGTCGATGACGTCACGAAGTGACCAACGTGGACGATCTGTGAGCTCCGAGATCATCACGGTACTGATTTCAGCAGCATCCAACTGTTTTCCTCAGAATCCAGCAGAAAATCGAGTTTCCGCTTTAATTCTTCGAATTTCACACGGTGTAACAATCAATAATTCTGCTATCTCGACAAACTTTGTGGTGTATGTTTGTACTTTCAATGAAATGCTGGTGTTCAGGGTTCTGATACTCGATCGTATCCGGTTTACATCGCGATCCAGGACTATCAGCCAGAAAGCACCGATGTTGAGGGTATTCCTTTGGAACAGGGTCAAATTGTCGAGGTTTTGGACAAGAAGAATCCAGCCAGCTGGCTGGTGCGAACTAAGGTCTGCCATCTTTCCGGCTATTCAGGTTTTAGGGGACTGCTAAGAATAGGACGATTTCAATACGAAGTTTTCAATGAGAAAACTGTGGTTTAGGTTTCTTTTAAAAAATTTGAAGGTCGAGGGGGTGGGGGAGCCTGGGGTGAGTCATAACCCTAAGTGGGGAACGCTCGTAGAACAAAGTCC